TACAATTCGCGCCTGGATACATCCAGTCTCTGAGGCAATAGTCACACTCAGAGACGAATGCTAAGATGCGGAGACGTGTTGTGGGGCGACAGACGGCCCCACCCTCCTCGTGGCGTAGAGGCCGAACTGGGGACAGCAATAAACTCCACATTACCTCTCGCAAAGACATGTTGTCGACATGAGCAAGGCGTAACCTCGCGTCGGGAGGACAAGCAAATGAGTATTCCAGCTTCCTACCAACCTGCCCACGCCCAACAATAAGTGAGTTTAGCTCTAAAAATTGCAATTAATATTTATGGCTTTACGGCTAGCGTAGTCAAATATAGCACCATTCCTACCTCCGCGGGGCGTCGTTCACTCCGGCTAGACGGAGTGAGGAGGAATTGTCGGCTTCAACCCGAGTTGAGGCGATGCCATGTCGTAGAAGGAAGCTTGGAGGCGTGAGGGCTCAAAAACGTTTCAGCCCAGCAAGCTGTATCGCCTAAATATGCCGAGCTGCTGAGAGCGGCAGTTGGGCAGTTTGTTCGAGCAGCAAAATAAGCGACGCTCGAGCCAAGTCTGCAGCTGTACCAGCTCTGATTCAGCCCGAAAAATGCCTACACTTTCGAGGAGAGCATAGTTACTTTGGTGGCATGAGTTTCTGTTGCGATGACAAAGTAGGTTGGAAGGAGTTCAGGAATTGGCGGGGCATGATTTCCCATTTGGACGGAAAAGTTGGGCTAAAGGATTACATGAAATGGTGACATGACTTCCATTACGAAGGAATGCATGAAGAGAAACTGGGTTTCGAAGAATTGCTTACAGAAATGTTGTGGCATGACTGTGCATTTGGCAGGGAAAGTTGGTTGGAAGGGGTTCGTGATGTGGTCTCACCGGAAACCGGAGGAGGATTGTGTCAATAAGTCCTGCCACATCATAAAAGCAAGATTTCATACTGGACGAAATAGAGCAAAAGTGCCGTCTCGATCGCGAAGATTGGCTACTTCAACCTCACTCGACATGCTCGCAAAGGAGTGAAGTGGCAGCTGTTTCATCACACACAAACTGGCATGTGCTATTGTGTCTGTTGTGTGTATGCAATGCTCATGTCATGGGAAGTGTGACACGAGGCTGGCTAGCTCTTCCTGCACCCACTCTCGCTCCCTTTCCGTAAGTCTATCCAACAGCCACGAATAGTTCCTACTCACTTTTCGACACTCGTTCCTTCCATTCACGACGTGGCTGTTTTGTCCATTTCTATGGACTCCCAAATCACACGCTTTCACGTCCAGTCCCCGTAACCCGCAAAATGTGGTCTTTTCGACCCGTCTTTTGAGTGTTCTGTATTCGCAAAATATGTTCGGTGAGGTCAGATTTGTCAACCCACAGACTTTGACAAGCGGTTTTCTGTTCTCATAGCCGCCCCCACATAGACCTCACCACATGAACACACAACCTCATAGCAGCCTGATCTAGAAAGAGGCTGTGAATATTCGCTCAACGAAGGAGCAACTGAAGAAAGTGATAATTTCTCTTTCGACATTGTTTTTATGCTCAATTTGCTCAGCAGTTCAGCCAACCTTTTCGCAAGTTGACAGGAAGGCAAGATCAGGAACCGGGTAGAATTGTCCAGTTTTCTTTCAGCCGCCTGATGGCAAACTTCCTTGCTCTTGTTAACTATAATTGATATGCAATTATCTACTAATCCTAATCCTAATTGGTAATTGTTTTGAAACAGTTTATCCCTCAATCTAGCAATCTCCTTGTCGCTATGCTTTGCATCTGCTAGACGCAGACTCCTTATTATCATAGACTTCATAAATCCTATTTCTACTTTCTTTGTATGGTTCTAGAAGAAATTAATAAGGAAACCCGCGTCAGTGTGTTTCCGATATATACGTCTAAACTTAACTTATTACGAGATGTATTCACACAATTTCGTTTAAGGTGATGAAGGACTGGTACAAAAAGAATTTTCCCACAATGATATGAGTTGAACTGACATTTTCATTTAATTTCACACAGCCTTGCTTTCCCAAAAGTTGTTCTCATCCAAGTGGACTGATGTGAAATTGAATGGAAACATCAGCTCAACTCATATGATTGTGAGAAAATTCTTCTTCTACCAGTCCTTCATGACCTTAAACGAAATTGGGTGAATACATCTCATACTACTCATTTACTGGTAGTCACGAAAACAATACTTTATTCGAAAAATAAAGTATAATAGTCGATTGTTATAGCAGATATACGTTTGTTTCCTCGACAATCCCACCAAAAGAATAATATGACAAAAAGGCCTGGCCTTCCTTGAAAATTCACATTTGCTCTGTGACCCAAAAGGCGCTCGTGGCTGTGTAGCCGAGAGAGTTGATAAGACCGATGCGAGGTCGAAACTGCAGTCCACTTCAGCTGGGATGAGAACAACTTTTTGGGAAAGCAAGGCTCTGTGAAATTCAATGAAAGCGTCAGTTCTACTCATGTGATTGTGGGAAAATTCTTCTTCTACCAGTCCTTCATTACCTTAAACGAAATTGGGCGAATACATCCCATATTAATGCTCTCAGACTAACGGGTTCTGACGGATGGTTTAGTAAACTGACTTTAAGTGCATGCATCTCATCACTTCAACCAGGGTTAGTTACGGACTAACGCAATCTCGGTCATCCTTTTTTATTCTTCGTATGTAAGTAGAGTTTAGAGGCTACCAGTAAATCAGTAATATGAGATTCATTCACCCATATTTCGTTTAAGATGATGAAGAAGTGAAAGTAGAATTTTCACACGATGATATGAGTAGAGCTGACGCCTTTATTGAATTTTGCATAGTTTTCCTTTTAGAAAAGTTGTTCTCATCCAGACTGAGGTGGACTGCAGTTTCGACCTGGCATAGGTCTTATCAACAATGTGAAATTCAATGAAAACTTCAGCTCAACTCAAACGATTGTGGACAAATTCTACTACCAGTCCTTCATCACCTTAAACGAAATTGGGTGAATACCACTCACATCCTTTTTTACTTGGTTCATTAAGTCTTGATGATCCGATGTGGACGTTAGGCTTTTTTCTAAGTACTCTTGAGTTATGATTGGTTGTGTGTACAGACGTTAGCACGCATACCCACACATACACACTCGATTATATCCATCTATATATGAGTAGATTTTCTCGTTATGAATTTATATTTCATGTAGGAAAGAACCGGTCAGGTTTATAGATTTAGTGTTAACTTGAGGATGTGCAAAAATGAGCTCCAACCCGGATGGCGTCCGTCAAAATGTGATGATGGTCGAAAACGGAGAAGAATGTCTCATGGACTGTGTCAATCGGAAGGTCAACTTCAAGCCAAAACGGGAATCAGCCATTGTCTTCTGGCGAGATCGACACTTTCATTTAAAATGAAAGTTTTTGCAACACATTAAATCGTAAAGAAATACTTCAAAACCCAGGTTTTTTTCATATCTCCA